TACAAGTTCCTCTATAGCAATTTTGAGGCACTGTGCAATTTAAGCAACAAAGTGTTTTAATATTGGCACTTAAATCAGCCTATCTTAGGCCTAGGTAGCTATATTATGTGACGACAGGTAATAATATTGTTGGTATAGTGAGCGTAGTGCTTGCCTCCAATTGGGCTAAGTGGCTTGGGGAAAAAAATGAATTAAAACAATATAAATCGGGTAACGTTATCTGCTAACTGTATGTTATTATTTTATGTAGAGTAACCTGATGCATAATTAGGCCAACTTGATGATAATGATTAAGTATTCAATTTGTAACTTACAACCAGGAACTTACAGATGAAATGATAAGATACAGATGGACCAAACTAGGTTCTTGGAGAGATGTTCAAATAATCTGAGCCGATGCAAATTGATAAGTAAAGCCGGACACTCACTGCGTCGTACGAACGTCGCACGACGAATCCAACTCTGCTCTCTCTGGGCGATAGACGAGGCGTCGCCGTCTGGTGATTGTCGGTGGCAGTCTGAATGGATCGTCATCAAAAACGATCCGTTGCGCGCGCGTCGTCGTGTTGCGTTCTTTACAGGATCGCTTCGGCCGACGAGCGTCGTGCGCAAGGAGTGGCTTAACTGATAATTTAGGTGGTACTAAAACATGGTCATGATACACAACGTCATCAATGACCAGGTAGAATTGGTTTCGTCTGACTGTATTTCATGGTCTCGTGAGGTCGGGTGGTGGTCGACGGTTGTCATGAAATCGAAAGTACTGTATAATTCGTAATATTTGACCAAGGAGGTAGGCCTATAAACTATTTATACCTCCTTGATTGGACTAATAATGCTCCTTCCGAATGACAATACAATTCTGAATTACAATCGGCAAGTAATGGTATAGGCCTATATTGTATTTTCAGTCTGGCTGTCTACTTACGTTTTGATTTGAAATATTAACACTCACAGAAGATATATATATGTGCCGGTAAGTGTAGTTAAAATTGTATCAGTAGTTAGTTAATGTTATTCGAAACTCAGTCTACGGTATTCATATTTTACCCCTATATAGTATATTGCTTCCTGATTGCATATTGTTTATACGCTGTGTAAATATGTATGCAGCCAGAACAAAACCAGATATTAATATTTGTTATGTTGTATAATAATGTATTCGTTTTCCTTGTAATTTATTTACTCATGGAGGAATAATAAATTTAATTCATCTAGTTATGGCCCTGATAAAAATTAAATTTTGAAAAGAATTTATCAATTTGGCAATAAATCTACATTTGTCCATGGTGGGCTGAGCAGGGTATGAACTCTAGTCTCCATTAACTTTAAATCTCGTACCTGTCAATGTGCAGCAGGATTGGGGGGGGGGCGGTCTACAGTATTTATATTTGCACGCCTATTTCCTAATGCATAGTATATTGCATCCTCCTGATTGCATATTGTTTACACGCTGTGTAAATATGTATGCAGCCAGAACAAAACCAGATATTAATATTTGTTATGTTGTATAATAATGTATTCGTTTTCCTTGTAATTTATTTACTCATGGAGGAATAATAACCTACATTTGTCAATGATGGGCTGAGCAGTGTATGAACTCTAGTCTCCATTAACTTTAAATCTCGTACCTGTCAATGTGCAGCAGGATTGGGGGAAGGGGGCGGTCTACAGTATTTATATTTGCACGCCTATTTCCTAATGCATTGCATCCTGATTGCATATTGTTTACACGCTGTGTAAATATTTGTGCAGCCAGACCAAAACCAGATATTAATATTTGTTGTATAATAATGTATTCGTTTTCCTTGTAATTTATTTACTCATGGAGGAATAATAAATTTAATTCATCTAGTTGTGGCACTGATAGAAATTAAATTTTGAAAAGAATTTATCAATTTTGAAATAAACCTACATTTGTCCATGGTGGGCTGAGCAGGGTATGAACTCTAGTCCCATGTGCAGCAGGATGGGTGGGGGGGGGGCGGTTTGAGGCTCTGCAACTTTGCCAGTTGCTACTTCCTGGAATCCAGAGGTGCCATATTTCCAAAGAGATAAAATCAATCTCCATGCAACTTTAAATCTTGTGGCTGCATTTGAGGGGAGGGGTAGCGGCTGTAAAGTTTGTCTGCATCTATTTCCGGGCATTCAGAGTTTGTTCACCAACCATGGTGGGAGCTGGGGTTAATAGGCTTTCAGACCCTCCACCTGTTAAAGTCCCTCTCCGGACCCCCTCTATTTCAAATTCCTGGATCCGCCACTGCAATAATATGATGGGATATCAGACTACAGGGGAAAGGTACGACACGATAGACGACATTTCGGCAGAACTATAGCTGACAAAAGTTAAAATAGCCAATGTATTTGATTAGAAACGGAGGCTAGCAACTTTTATGCTGTAATATTTAAAACATTCTATTCTGTTCCTCTTACACTGTTTACTTATACACATCT